TTCCCTACAATGCAGGTGCTGTGTGAGCACTCTCCTTCCAGTGCTTTACACACACCAAACTTTGGAATAAGAAAAATCATCCTCGTGGCAGGAAGCAGCAAGAATTGGTCCCACTGAAATGGGGGCAACTAGATTAATGGCCTGAAATCATTAAGAGCTGTTAAGGCTCAGCATATTTTATATATTTGGGGCAAATCACCCGCTGCTCAATTTCTACAGGGAGTTGGCATCTTAGGAAATCTGAGTGTTCCTGGCTCTCCGTTCTATGCCTGGACCATCGGCCGAGTCTGAAGACTGCTGCAGTCAGCTGAAATGCTGATTTCCAAAGGATTTAGATAGGGCCCTGTGGACCCAAGTATGCTCCCACTTACTTAAATGGTGTATGGTAAGGCCCTGTGTACAGTGGGATCTTGCGTTTGCACAGCTCACTGATGTGAATGTAACCCACTGGCTGACTGTCAAGGTGAGAGAGAGTAAGCCACAAAAAGCAAGTGCCAGGAGGAGGAATAAAGGTGTTAACGCAATGTTTCCGACAAAACCAAGCAGTCGGCTCTTCTGCCAAATGCGTGTAGCTCATGATCAGAAAAATCTCAGCCCCTATTTTATAGTGGAAAGAGGGCAGGACATACATCTATGCAACTGTATAAGCAAATATATGCAGTAAATAGGTCATGGAAAAAAGACATTTAATGGGTAACATGCTTCATGGCTTATTGAGATGATTGGGGTCAGAACATTATGGTGCTACTATGACAAAACAGATATTAAGAGCTTAGAAATTCTATTGCACGGATGTGGATATCAATATCACGCCTATAAGGGAGAGACGTGGTTGTTGCAGTTACTATTTGCATTTTTATAGCAGATTTGTTTCAATTTATTCCTCACTACATGTTGATACTACATCATAATCTAGCTCTATAAAGGGCTGCACTCAACAACACAGAGTGGTACTCCTCATTTTCCCTGCAATAGGTCCTTTCAAGCATCTGGGAACCCTGGGAGACAGGAGGACCTTGAAGGTGAAGTGTTCGAGTCAGGGATGACACAGCTCTGTTGGAAAAGGAGGCCATTCTTATAGGCAGAATACAGAGCACTTCATGTTGTACGAGCTGCCCTCAAAGCTGGTTTAGACCGTCAGCACTCAGAAAGTCTGTGAAGCAGATTCAAGGCTAAGAGGACTCTATTACAGATGTGTTTAGTTTACTGGGGCTTACATTGGACAGTAAAATTATTACCTCCCCCTCCACGTTGTTGATTTTTGCAACACCTTTTCCAATACACACATCAAGGACTCTACAACCTAGGCTCTCAACTCAGCTGCAACATGCATCCTCTATTGTAACACTGCCAAACTGGTTTGGGACAAGGGAAGAACGCAGCGTCCAAATGGCAACTGCAAGAGGAATATAGGGAGATGGGAAGCCATGCACAACTGGGGAGGACACCAGAGACCAGACTACGCCCTGCCCCTGGCTGGAAACAGTGCTACAGAATCATTCATTAACAATCACAGAAGGGCATTAGGTTTCAACCTAAGGGCATCCCACAGCCCTTTGCCGGGACACCTCTTATGGAGTCACAGACACTTTCTAGATTATCTCCCAGTCTCCCCTCCGAGTAGTGACCTCTCACCAGGTAAAGTCTTATATGCTCACAACCCAGAACAATACAGTTGTGGCTCTCTTTTGGAAGCTGCAAATGCTTACGACACACCCTCTTCTCTCCCTTCAACATGGACAGAAGGATTTATTTAGCAAATGGGTAGCAGAATCAAAATGCAACACTTCGCTACCAGGTTTTACAGCAGTGTCATTACACAGACGCTCACAACTCAGGATTTGGACCTCAGGGGAAATGATTAAATGCGGGGAAGTCAAGTGACCTCATGCAGTAAAAGCAATAGGAAGCCTTGCTCCACAAAGCGCTGTAACAACAGGTTCCAGCTCCCTTGGAAGCACCTGGGGTCAGACTCGTAGCCACTACAATTAGATCAGCTCCACTGAATTCAATGGAGCTACAGGCATTTCTGCACATTAAACATCCAACCCTTTTTATTATACTTACCGGGTTACCTATGAGAGGAGAAGATTGGACTACATGGGGTGCATCTATTAGGGGCTCAACAAGCAGCAAGAACATTACTCACCAGTCATTCAACTTCAGGCCATCACCTCTGTGCCACACTGTCCAGCTGTTCAGCGTCTAGGATAAGAGCCCAGTTTTGCCATCATCATTGGCAATCCCTTGCAGTTGAGAATGACTGTCTTCCACAATTGTCTTATCTGTCGGTCTGAAGATGGCTGATGAAGCCTATCCAGGATGGACAGACTCTGTTGCAGGGTCTGCAGCTTGGTATGAAACAGTCACACCACTCCTTTCTCTTTTACCTCTCCAGCCTAACAAGCTGCCGGAGGACAAAGACAGATACAAGGAGTTTTACCACCATTCTTCTTCCATCCCGTTTCTGCCTCCCGGCTCAGCCAGTACTGAGTTACCTTTGGGGAGCTCCCAAATTAGGCCCAGCCCTGCTCCTATAGGAAAGCTAATTGTGGACCTTCCTGCTAACCCTCTCTCTGCCAACCCCTGCATGCACTTTATATCACTTCATCCCACAGGTGCTTCCATTTCCAGGGAGTTGGGTAAGGCAATGGCATAGGGAGGGAGAAGGGAGTCAATCAAGTAGTAAGGGTGGTGGCAGGGGTGGGGGGGGACCCAGCTTAGCATGCCACAACCAAGATAGGATGCCTGGTTCTCTATGGCTACCCCTGCACCTGCAACAGGGTACAGACATACCTCAGCTATTTTTAAACCAGGTGGGCTGGGTAACAGCAACAGCTTGCCCGTGTCAGCACGGAGCTTGCTTGGGCTGCAGAATCTGCCTGAGAACAAGGTAAACACTTGGCTGAGCTCCGAGCTACTGTGGATTGACTCCTATTGGTATCCTAGCAGTCTGCAGCTAGCTGGTAGCACGTCTATACTGCGTGGCACTCACTGCAACGTGAAGAGAGAGGCATCAATAGCGAGGGACAGATGAAACAAAAGCCCAGTACTCTTGGCAAGTGATGCTCTGTAGTTCTTGTTATTAGGATAAAAGTGCAGCAATGCCATGTGCACCTTGGACCACAGCGTGGTTGCTAACCTGAGCAGTCATGGCACTTCTGATTTCCTCTTCCAAAGAAGCATTTGTGGATTAGCTTATGTCCTCTGTACAGACCCATGTACTTGCACAGGCACTTTATGTTGTCTACTAATACTAGCCTGGTGTAAAAGGAATGACACTGCCTTGAACGGATCGCTCCAGAACCAAAGGGATATCCATGTGATCAGACTCAGTCCCTGAAACTCTTGGGATGTTTCTTGCTCCTTAGACTCTCCCTTTCCATCTGTGCCTTCAGCTTTTCATTGGTTTTTGCTTGTTCTTTTATTGCACTTCTTATTTACCTGCCAGGAAATCTCTCATCTATTCATGAACTGTAAAAAAATCACTTTTCCCTCTGCAAAATGGCTCTTTCCCTAGCTCCCAGCATCCAGACACGCATCTTATTAGGATGTGCACATTGCATCCAGAGAGTCACTCCTGAATATGAATGTCTTTCGATTAGATCCTAGGTGTGCTTCTTGTGCCAGTTAGTGGTAAACTGCAAAGCTCTATTCAGAAAATAATAACAGGCAACCAGCTGTAATACTACAAATAGTAAGTCACTGCAGTCTCCTTGTCTACAGACAGCACATCCTGCACCAAGAAAAACAACTGATGCTCAGAGGCCTGCTTTGGGCTTCTTTCCCCTCTTCGTTTGAAACTTTTTCTCTCTCCTAGGAATGCCACAGGTATTGGTTACCGATGAGAATATACAGCCTTGATTCAGTCAGGCTAGAAATCATTGACTGGTCAAAGAAACCCCCCCAGCAGTGTTGCAGATCAGACAGGAAAATGTAATGTTACTTGCTGAGAGAAAGTGGACACAGCTGCCTAATAACACTTTAACGCTTTAATAAAAATGGCTATTATCAGGGAATAGACTGCAGCATTAGTTAGTGGTTTTGGCATTTTCTTCTCGGCTTTTTCAGTGTGGCACTCTGGGAACAAAATAAGGGCTCGCAGCTTTTGCCCACAGGATGGTTGCACAAACCTCTGCCCACACAAACTTTATTCCCTGATCTGTAGCTGCCCTGAGCTTCCGGATCCTAAACTGGTAATTTGCCAGATCAGAGTGTTCCCAATTGAAGCTGGTCTAAGAAGAGAAGAGAAGAAAGTGCCTTTCCGCTGAGCCTGAAGAAAGTCCGGCGGACTTCAGTACGAGTACAGCACAGCTAAAACTCCCCGCGTTACGGAGCAGATGGATTCTGTTCTTCATCTCATGCTCATTGGGGTGGTATCTGAGCTTCCTGACAAACTCTGCTGGCATCACTCTTCCAGAAATGGAGATGGAGATGATGATGATGATAATGATAATAATTGACAGATGCTACATCTCCTCTGAGAAACCCCATCTGAGATGATGGCCTCATTGGGCTGGGGGCTGTACATGCACATAATAGCACAATCCCTGCTTGGAAGGGCTTACAATCTAAATAGGTGAAGGGTAAAGGGAAGGAAGGCTCTTTTATCCATGTTTGCACACCGTGAGCCACTACTGAAACTAGCAGGAATCCTCTCTCACCCCAGGAGCTTCTTCCAAATTCTCATTCTCTGCCAACACATCCTCCGGAGGAGTCAGATCCAAAACTCACCCTGATACACACAACTGCCCACGTCTGCACAGACCTGATGAATCTCATTGTAGGCCTAGCTGCTCTTCAAGCCTGTGTCCATACCAGGATTTTGGTGCTGTTGCTCCCTGCACTGCAGCCCCCAGCCCAGTACCACCAGGAACAGCACTGGTTAGCACCCAGAAGAAAGAAGGCAGCAGGGGAGCTGGCATTTTAAATACCATGTTACCTGTTCCTGCTCAAATCAGGGATGCAAGAAAGGCAGAGAGTCCAGCAAGGCTCCTGGTTAGAGAGAATGCAAAAGGGAAGATCAGCAGCTAAGTGGAGGAAGGGAGAAAAATCATTTTGGAAAGAAAAAGGAAAGGAGAAGATGCCTAAAACAGTGAAAATACAGGCAAGAGACTATTAAGGTGGTAAGTGGTATTAGACCCAGATCTTGGAAAAACCCACTTCTAATTCATATAAACCCAAGGTATGGGATATAGCTTACTCTCCACCAGTTGCTTCACAGGCAACTGCCAAGTGTTTGTGAAGTAAGCTCCATAACACACCCCAGGACACTTATTAACCCATTTTACAGATGGAGGATGGAGGCAGGGGTGGTTTTGTGCTTGGCCCAAGGCCACCTTTTGAAGAGCTGGGAGTAGACACCAGAGCTCCCACCTGACAGCCCTGTGCCTCAGGGCCAGGAGCACAATTCTCAGCAGGCACGGACCAGGCACTCCCCTCCTAGCACTTCAGCTGCTGCATCATCCGAATCATCAGCATTCAGATTCTATCGTCCTTTGCCTCTTGACTGAAATTATTCCATCTCTATCGACTCAAACAATGCCTAATCCACTCTGCCTGTTGCCTCCAACTATTGTGCGTTTCCGCTGTCTCACTTTTCTCTCTGCCTGGTTCCCTGATTTTCCTCTCCCATGAATTTTCATGAGGTTCGTCTAGCCACACAGCAGGCGCTGCACAGCACATGCTCGCCAAGCCTTCCCATGGAGCGGGGGTGCTTGCTTACTGCTGACAGCTGAAGCTGCTCTGCTCAGAAGAAGCCACTTCGGTAACAAGGAGGGGGGGCAGGTGCCTGAGGAAATGCAGATGCAGGACTGGGCTAGATAACTAACCAGGCTGGGCTGGGGCCTCAAATACAGAGGTAAGCATCACCTGCCCCAGGGCAGAGCCCAGGAGAGGACTCAGGTCTCCCGGAGCATCCAAATCAGACAAAACCTTTCCACTGACTTGGCTGAGCGGGATCAGACCCTGGGGACCTGTTGGGGGTGGCATCTACCTGCCACCAAGTAACCCAAGACCAGGGGGGTCTCCTTACCTCTGTGGCTCCAGGCCTGAGATCCCACTCTGGGGCGCTCTCTGCTGTGCAGCTCCTCAGGGAGGTGGTGAGAGGCTCTAAAGCCAGTGCCCTTGCTGGAAAAGCTCTAGATCACCTGGGGGGGGGGTGCACAGAGAGAGCTGCAGACAGAGGAGACTCCAACTCCCCAGCGTGCCTGGCGGGGCAGAGAGCAGACATTCCCCCTCCCCTCTGCCCCCCTGAGCTGTGAGGCAAGATGGGGGACGTTCCCAAGGGGTCGGGGGGCTTCCTACCCTGACAGATACCTGGGGAGTGCCTGCCTTTGGGGATGCAGCCAGCAGAGGCGGAGCAAAGCCAGCGGGGCAAGGCAGCTCCCTGGCTATAAAACCCAGAGCTGAGCCAGCCGCAGCTCATACGGTGCATGCTGTGGGCAGGGACTGCCCTGTTGGGCAGGTGGCACTGGGGCTTGAATGCTGCCTTAGAGCAGGGTGGGACCAGATTGGACAGGGGCTGGGGGTGGCAGTGAGTGGAGGAAGGAGGAGGAGAGGCAGGTGTGAAGCAGAGTCAAGGCAGGCAGTGACACGAGGAGGGGCATCCCCACCCACTGCCCACAGCGATGGAGCACAACAGCAGCAGCAGGGTGAGCCCGGG